ACCAGCTGCATGATTAAAATCATGTTGTCATCAGCAACCTTACACACTCACATGCTCAGAGACAAAACATTTGACAGATCCTCCCACGTACAGCTCCGTATACGCTTTTGTGACATTAGTGAGCACCTTAGGAAGCCAGAATCACGCCCGGCCGCCTTTATCTCCCCAATGGTGATCAAGGGGAATTGATAAAAGGGGAAGCCCTGCATCAGTTTTGATGAATGCCGATGACTTCACCAGGGCGTTTGTACGAAGCTAAATGCAGAGGGCCACGTGAAGTGTCGAAGGTTCGCTGGCAGGATGTCACGGGACACACCCAGGTGTTATGTGCTGCCTACAGTACCAACTTGCTGTATTTTAGACGCCTCGTGCTCCACTTGTGAGCATTGCTGTTGTTGGAGGGCAACTGCCTCCAACTGCACAGTAGCGTTTTTTTTACAAGCCTCCTCAACAGAAGGTGATCTCAACAAATCCAATCAGCTCCACATCCTTCTGTACCACATAAGCCCATCTTCTCTCCATGTTTTAGCCACCTCTATCCAGCCAAACTGAAGCTGCTGGGCATGCGGTGTGGTTGGATATGCGAGCTACATGACCCACCCAAAGCAGACTCGCGTTGCCTGAGGAGCTCACTGATTGGTCTGTGTCCAGATGTGTCAAGGTTCTGCGAGTTCCTCACACACTCCAGTCTGGTGAAACCCAGAATGGATTGCAGACAGGCCAGTCTGAATGTTTCAAACTGGTGCGGATATTCCTTTGAAGGGGTTAATGTTCACAAGCATCGAGAAGAGAATGCATAATCATGGGTGAGAAGACCCAGAACTTTGTATGAAGCTGCCAAATTGGATATAGCATAAGCACATTGTCCAAGTATGGAAACTCCTCCACGATTTCCACAAATGCCCCATCATGACATAAAATACCCAGGTAGGTGCTTTGCCCATAACTTCCAAATCCTTCTCAGAGTGACCAGCAATTACCAGATCATCAGCATAGATAACATGTTTGAGCAATAGGGAGCCATCCCTTGACCACACCGAGGCATTGATCAGCTCCCCAACACGTTCCTTTCGAGTGGGCAGGTAGGAACTTGGTTGGACAGCGCATTCGTGCACGACAGACAAATAATCCTTGGTGGGCAGTGTGGAACCTGTTGTTCCTACCTTTATTATTGTATCTGTGCCAGATGGGGCTCCTCCAGTGCAGCCATGGAAAGTTTCTTGAACAATGTGGTAACAAAAACATGTTAACTAGTGTCGGGGCCAGATGACATTCCTGTTGCACCTCAAGGTGAACAGGAAACAGCTCTGACTCCCCGCCACGCAGGATTATTCAGGACTGCCCACCATCATGAAGGTCCTTAATAGTTGTAGGCAGAGGGGCAGGGACCCTGAAAGTATAAAGAATAGCCCAAAGCCTTCACCTATTGATGGTATTATGGGTACATACACATAAACAAAAAAAAATATGCACCCACAGCCACAAATACAAAAAATTAACCCATAAAAACAAAGTTTTTCACTATAAATCCTTTATATGCGTGGCGGCTAGAGTCCTCTCGTCCTCTGGCTTGAGATGGCTGCCACCTATGGGTCAGATGATTGCCTGCCACCATTAAGCAATTGGTAATTAAATATTTAAAAAATCCTAAAAAGTGTAAAATTTTGGAAAAAAACATTTCACGAAAATAAATTGTCACGCACAACGAGTCTGTGTGCAAAATGTCAGCTCGATTGGATCACGGGAAGTGGGTTAAAAAACGACCGAAAGATTTGCACGGTCGTAAGCGCACAAGCAAGCAAGCAAGTGAACTTAATATAAAGGATTTAAAAAGGCAAACACACACACACACAGAAACACAAACAAAATGTTCGTAAAACATGACTGGCTTCTTCATACTGTGATAGTAACACCACGTTGCGAGAAAGGACCTAGTGATAGTGCAAATAGTTTTGAAGATAAAATCTAGGTGGAGATATATTCAAGTGAGATTCCTTTATCCTGCATAGATGATTGTGTGTCGTTAGCGAGCACACAAAATGTGGGTCATGCTAGTATTCGTTTACTTAATTTATTTTAATTATAAGTTTAGGGAAACAGCAACTCGAGGTTGGAATTAAATACGCTTAGTAAGTAAAGAGAGACAATCCATACGACTGGATTGGAGCGCCCTGGATGACTGCACGGCACAGTGCCGTAATCCACAGTGTGCGCACCCCTTGTGGATTAGCAGAGCGGTTACGACCCAGCTCCAACCTGGAATCTGGTGGACACTACATAACACGAATACCCGCCATTCGCCACGAGGTGACGGCAATGTCACCACGGCGCCTGTGCCAGGCCAGGTGCACTTAGAGCCCACGTGAAGTGTCGAAGGCTCGCTGACAGGTCACGGGACAGACCCAGGTGCCATGGTTTGGCTGACGGAGATGACTGGCAGATGCACCAGCTGTACCCCATACTGTGCCAATTTGCTGTGTTTTATCCACCTGGTGCTCCTCTGCCCTCAATTATTGTTGGAAAGTGACTGTCTCCAACTGCCCAGTAACGTCATTCACGAGCCTCCTCCACACACAGCTACACATATCCGCCGTGTAGCCTTATAGACTGGGAGCAGGACACCTGTTAAGAACGAGCTCCTATTAAAGTTCAGACTCACAATGAGCCTTATCTCCCAAACGCTCATTGATGCTCACCAGGACTCCAAGTACTCGTTCTATTCTACTCTTGTGTATGGTGGCAGCAATATGTTGGGGAGCTCGGTGTCAATGTCGAGGTCTGCTGCTAGCCATTGGGAGGGGGCTTCAAGAGAGAGAGAGAGTTCGTGTAGTTTTTACTATTCCACCTCCATTGAAGAAGTGCAGACTTGAGTGGTTTACTAAATGTATGGTCCATAGTTCGGGTCGCATCGCCACAATCGCTCTGCTGTGGCTTGTCGTTTATATTCCACTCATAAAGATGTTCTCATCAGCCTGATGATTTTCTGATGCGGCTGACGACACACTGGTGTCTTCAAGGAATGTACTCATTTAAGGCTGAGTAGACATTGGTGGAAACACGGGCCCTGGTATAGATCAATGACGTTTCCTGTCCAGGAATTTTACTTTTGGTCGCAGTATATAGGGTCATTGCAAGAACAAACAATATCGCTCCTAAAACGCACACACTTCAACGTATAATAATGTGCTGTAGGTTAAATTATTTAAGAAATACTTGTTTCTGTATGTTGACGACTCGATCCAAACGCAGTTATTTCCGACGCCAGTTTGAAGCTTCAATAATGGGCAAAACACACGACTCTAATCAACCAGAGCACGCAGTTGATTCACTTAAGAATGCCTCGACTTACGACAGAGTTCGTATATATTTATTTTCAGGTTATAGGCAAGAGATTTAGGCTGACCCTGTCCTATATGTGACACCAATCAAACTCCACCGCTGTATTTCGTTGGTGACCAATTTGAAAGAGTTTAGTTTGTGAATTTCGCTAGTTCTAACAATCGACTCCACGCGTAACCAAATGTTACCTTACTCGCCCTTACAGAAAATAATCAGAATTACGTCACTGAAGTTCGTCCACGTAAAATAGGTCGTGATGGAAGACGACGGAGTGAACGGTGCAAACTGGTCAGCGTTACTACCCGGTGAACTTGGCAACCCGAGTTCGATTCCCGTGCCCACGGCTCACATCAGTGGCGAGCGATATCTGAAGAGGTCTCGGGGCACCCCACCCGCCTCGGCAACCAACACTGACCAGTGTGGTGAAGTATGGATAAACAATGACCCACGATTGATTGAACAGGCGTGGAGAGGTCTTCATCCAGCAGTGGAGAGACAAACTGTGAATTAGTACTAAAAATAGGGGGGATTGCATTTGACGAAAGGTGCTTCTGCATGAAGTAAACCGGTGTAATACTTTGTACACATTATCTAATGTTTAATTTAAATCAGTTGACTGTGCGATAGTGCCTCTATTTCATTAAATATAATCATCGTTGCACCTGGTCGGTAATATGAGTACCACCTGATGGAAAAATCGATGGTGATTGCTGTGTTCAGAAAACACGTGGCCACGCCACAGACAAGTGGAACGTCTCACCGCTGGTTCCGGACCCAGGACAATTCGGATCCATTATCTAATATATATTAGATCAGAATCATTTGCCTGTGTGCTCATTTGAATATATCCGGTATATACACAAACGCGTATGCGTACACACACACACACAAGACGATCATATCCCCGTCATAGGCTTAACAGAGTGTTGGGGGTGGGTGGCCAGCACCACGCCCGACCCTCTTTGTATTTCCAGTGCTGACGAGTACACACCACACCAGCCTTGATCGACCAAGGGGAGTCCCAGGACCGGTACATTCAGATACCAGTCGCCACTGAGATTAGCCGTCGCCAGGAATTGAACTCAGGCTAACCACGTTCGTAATAGATTGCGCTAACCACTGCGCCACCGCTCCCCACACAAAGATTGCCCGTGTAGCCTTAACAGACTGTTGGGGCAAGTGCTGTAAGCGAGCGCCTATGAAGGCCGGCACGGCACACGAAGGGGTGGATGGTCAGCACCACGCCCGGCCGCCTTTGTCTCCCCAGTGGCGATGTTTATACAGCGCTACAGGTACTCATTTGACGCCGAGTCGATTTAGGGGAGTCAAGGGACCGGTGCAAATAATCGTCACCGGCGTTGGCCGTGAGCGGGAATCGAACTCGGATCGCCGGGTTCATAGCGCAGCGCGCTAACCGCTGCGCCACCGCTCCCCGCACAAAACGCACACACACACAAACACGTGTATGTGTGTATTTGCATGTGCGCACACAATGTACACGGTCACATACAGTGCACGCGTGACTATCCCATACGCCAGACGCACCCGTGGATTCGCTCCCTGCTGGCACAGCGAGAGAACGACTTGAACGAGGTCGTGGAGCGAGCATGGAAGGCATCACACACGACACACGCGAGACCCGGCGTCGCCTCGTCTCCCACCTGGCGATGTGGCTCCTGGTCTCGCCTCGTCGCCCGCACATGCAGCCTGCGTGGGTCTTCATCTTTGTGTCGCGAACGGCCCGGGGGGGGTGGTGTGTGGGGGGACACACACAGCAGAATGACGAGGATGATGTGGGTGTCTGAATGAATGAGGAGGGAAATATGGAGGTGGATTGTGGTGGGTACAATGTGGACACGCTGGCTGCGTGGGAGGGAGAGTGGAGAAACAGGGAGGAGATGTCTTGTCCCTCCCTCTCTCTCTTCCTCCGTCTCTCGTTCCCTTCTGCCTCTCCCTCTCTCTCTCCCCCTCCTACCCCACCCCTTGCCCTCTCTCTCCCGCCCCCTCTTATCTCTCCAGCGCGCACACGCCGTCTCTGTTGCCACAGAGCGGAGAGCTGGCGAAGTGCGGATGGCTGCAAGGAGGCACGCTCACACCCACCCACACACTCGCCACGCGCTCCCATTAGTAGCCCACGCACAATGATCTATCCGCGCTCGCCAATGCACAGCCACGCAGACAGACCCCCCCCCCCCCCCGCACATTCACCCAGAACAACAAAACGCCGCTCACCGATCAATGGCGTTGACGTCACCGCGGCGCTTGTGCCAAGCTAGGTGCACATTATTCATCCCACGCGTGCGCACTCGGATCACTCAGCCGCTCGCCCGCTCACCCGCTCACCCGCTCGCTCACCCGCCCGCTCACCTGCCCGCCCGCTCACCCGCTCACTCATCCACCCGCTCACTCACCCACTCGCTCACCCGCTCACCCGCTCACTCGCTCACTCCCTCATTCACCCACCCGCTCACTCACTCACCCACCCGCTCACTCACCCGCTCACCCACCCGCTCACTCACCCGCTCACTCTCCCACTCACTCACTCACCCGCTCACAACCGCCGGTTTCCCCGCTGACCGTGATTGTCGCCACAGCTCTTGTGCCGGGCTGGGTGCGCTTTGAGGCCGCGCGAAATGCGGATGGCTCACGGGCAGATCGCGGGGCGTGCTCGGGTGTACCGTGTTCACTTACGGAGGTAAATTGTGGACTGTATCACCATCATCATCATCGCGGGGCTCCTCTGCCCGTTGTTGTAAACGTCGCTCCGCCGTTCTCCTCTGTAGCTGGAGCAAGTGACTGCCTCCTGCTGTCCAGTAGACATCGTCGCGAGCCTCCACATCCTTCTGTGCCGCATCAGCCCATCTATCCAGCCCGTGCCGCGCCCGTTCAGCCTACTCCGGACAAATACGTTGACTGTTGGTACTGTGTCCAGAGCTTTCCAGAATCTGTGAGCTCACACAAGCCAGTCCCGGCAAACCCCAGGATTGATCGTAGGCAGGCCAGCCTGATTGTTTCAATCCGGCGCAGAAGTTCATTCAAAGGGCTGCACGTATCGCAAGCGTAGAGAAGGGAGGGGGGCATAATTACGGCAGAGAAGGCTAAGAGCTTTCATATGGAGGGACCTGCCAGGCAGCTTTGCCGCAGCCGATGAAAATATAGCGCACACAAAGACAAAGATCATCCGCTTTATCCTGAATATTCTGTTGGGGCAAGCACATATGAAAGCCGGCACGATACACGAGGGGGCGGGGGACGACTACCACCCACATTGTCCTAACATGCGCCCAGCCTCCTATACCCACCCACGTGCGTTCACCTGCCCAGGCACACTCATTCACCCACGGCTCAATCATTCTCACACACACACCCTAGCGCACGTAAGTACGAAATAGGTGTAAATTAAATAAACTACTTAAAAATGTTTTTTAAACAACGGTTTTATTAACAAGTTAGTTTAACTCGCGGTCGAGAAGTACGTCAATGACGCGGCTCCTGCTCCCACATCAACGCTAACTTGAATTGATTGATTACTTCCGCAACTGGTTCAAACGGAGCAGGCGATTCGAGAGTTTAGGGACCGCGGCGTTTTTGACCTACACAAATATATATATAAATAATAAGGCGTCCATACAAAATGTAAATTGCTTTAAAGTAGCGAATTAATTGATTAATTGATGCCGATTTTTGATAGGGGTGTGCATTACCACCGGATCTGGGTACGTGTGCAAAATTTGGAATTGATTGGACAACGGGAAGTGGACTACATTTTGATTACAAGATTTGACCACGACAAACACAGGAGTCAAGTTAAGTAAAACCGTTGAAAAATATATAAAAGTACGTCATTATACCCACCGGTGGATATAAACAATACAATGTCATGAATTCAAGATGTGGTATTCTGGTGGATTTTTTCCACGTGTGCTTCGCTACAGGGTACCGATGTATGCAATGGAGAGGCGGCGTGGTGAGTGCGTGGGAGACAGGGGTGGTGTTTGTGCATGGAGCTGAGTGGACCTGCTGAAGGCTGGTACCGGCGGTGTCAAGATCCGCCCCGATGGAGGAGGTTCGTGAAGGACGCTACTGGTCAAGTTGGAGGCAGTCGCCCTCCAACAACAACGGACAGCAGAGGAGCGACGCCCACAACAATGAGCGGAACGCCGGGTGTATAAATGTATCAAGTTGGCACAGTAGGTGGCACAGCTGGTGTATCTGCCAGTCATCTCAGTCAACCCATGGCACCTGCTGGGTCTGTCCCGTAATCTCCTGTCAGCGAGCCTTCGACACTTCACGTGGCCTCAAAGTGCACCTGGTCTGACACAGGCGCCGTGGTGACCTCACCACCACTTAGTGGCGGGTGTTGTTGTTGGGCACGCGTGGGAGAGACGGCGTGATGACGATGGCAAAAACAACCCCCCACCTTCTCTAGGTGTGTCAGATGGCAACACAGGTGTGTGATGTGAGCAATGTCACTGGGGGCGGGGGGGAGCTGATGTGAATTAGCCCGTTAGCTTCATGATGGTGCTCGAATCCGCTTCAGTGGCAAATGGGAACCCAAAATAGATGAGAAATATTATTTGGGTCCCTGAGCGCCGGTAAATCACGAGCGCGTATAATTATTAGTTTCGTGTTGCAGCTCTTATCGATTTAACGTGACATGCAGATCCATAACCAGGTTTGGAAATTAAACAGCCAAGATATTAATTAATGATCTTGGTGAGTTCTGAATGATAACACTGGTCTACAACCAAAATGTGGTCCAACTTTACTAATTCTGGGTCACTGAGAATGAAAATGATGCTTAAAATTGTTGATTTCCTCTCGTTTTAAAGATATGCTACTGGATCAGTATATACGACCTTTGACTTGGGAATGGCGTAGGATAAGTGAGTTTTAAAGGGAATTGATCTCAACTTAAACCAGAAATGACTAAAATGCATTTTGACTGGATCTATGAATACATCTATGACTGGGTTTGGAAGGTATTTGATTTTTTAGCAAAACAATGAATGATGCATTCTGAACCTGGTTTTGCATCATACATGATATCAATTGCATCATGTTATTCCTAAAAGTCATGGATGATGCAATCATAACTAGGCTTACATCCTTCTGCTGAACAAATTGCCTTATATCAGCTCTAGAAATCATACAGTGTCGTGCTCTCTTATTTGTCAGTGTTTGATTTTGCAAAGGGACACATTTCTGTTTTGCCAATGTTAGCAGAGATGCCTCGTATGTGTGTGAACAAAGCAGATAACTTCTGCTTTGTTTGTGGTGAAGTGACTTTGGTATCACAAAAGTGCAGTATAATCACTATGGTTAAGAAAGCCTATCACCTTAATTTTGGCTGCAAAACTGGAGATCAGGACAAGATGTAGGTCCCACACATATGCTGCAACACTTGTGCAACAACTCTTCGCCAGTGGTTGAACAGGAAATATAAATCTGTGCCTTTTTGCAGTGCCAATGATTTGGAGAGAGCCTACAGGTCATATCAGTAATTGTTACTTCTGCATGGCACCTCCAGTTGGGAAAGGTGTGTCAAAGAAGAAAAAGTGGACTGTGCATTATCCAAACATTCCATCAGATATACGCCCAGTACCCCACGGAGAAGGACTGTTGGTTCCTGATGCACCAGAATAATTCTCACTTGAATCATGCGAGGAAGAGGATGAAACTTCTGGTCCTGAACCATCAAGGTCACATGACCCAGATTTTCTCCCATCCTCTCTGAACCACACCTCATAACACAAGGTCAACTGAAAGACCTTTTCAGGGATTTGGAACTACCCAAGAGTAAGGCAGAGCTGTTGGGCTCCAGACTGCAGCAGTGGAATTTCCTGGCAGGTGATGTTAGGATGTCCATGTTCTGTGACCGTCAAAAGTAAATTGTCCCATTTCTCTTCATGGAAGGTGATCTTGTAGCCTGCAACAACATCGATGGTGTGATGGCAGCCCTCAACATCGTTCATTATCCAGATGAGTGGAGACTGTTCATTGATTCACCGAAGATGAGTCTGCATAATGGCAATGTTTTGCCATCAATTCCAGTTGGTCATGCAGTCCATATGAAGGAAACCTATGACAACATGAAACAACTTTTCAGGTGCATAAACTATGACCAACATTAGTGGCAGCTTTGTGACGATTTGAAGGTTATTCCTCTCTTGCTTAGTCTGCAGACTGGATACACAAAGTACTGCTGTTTTCTCTGCGAATGGGATAGTCGTGCGAAAGATTACCACTACGTCAAGATAGATTGGCCACTCTGACAGTCATGGGAGCCTGGGAGGAAAAGTGTTCAGCATCCACCACTTGTTGAATCAAGGAAATTTTTGTTACCACCCTTACACATCAAGCTGGGTCTGATGAGGAACACAAGTAGCTTTCTAGTACCTCCGTGGAAAATTTCCAAGATTAAGTGAAGCTAAGATAAAGGAAGGTGTCTTTGTTGGTCTTCAGATTCGTGAACTTCTTCGAGATGATGCATTTGACAGTGTGTGGCAAGAAAAAGACGGCATGGAAAGCCTTACAGTTAGTGGCAACAAATTTTCTCGGAAACAACAAGGCAGAAAACTACAGGGAGTGGGTGGAAAACCTCCTCAAGGCATACAAAAGCCTTGGTTGCAACATGTCACTAAAGATACATTTTTTTGCACTCTTATCTAGATGTTTTCCCACCGAACTGCGGAGCAGTAAGTGACGAGCATGGCGAGTGATGTCACCAGGACATTGCAACAATGGAGAAACGCTCTCAGGGCAAATGGAGCCCATCAATGCTTGCAGACTATTGCTGGACAGTGACAAGAAATGCTCTATTTAATGAATACAAGAAACAAGCCAAGAAGCGCCGAGTCAACACTAAATGAGGACTAAACTACACACTTATATATATGTACTGACATCACTGGATGTCACCATGCTGGCGGTGCAGTACCGGCCCTAG